TTTATAAGAATAAAGTACATTTCGTGGATACACTTTCACGAAGAACCTATTTCTGGGATACCGCAGTCCCATGTGGATCAGAAAACAGCCACAATGTAGTACAACTAAACCCTGATGAAAATAAATATTATCTTCTCACTCCATATCCCACATTAATGCAATCACTCAAAAAATTTTCACCAGAAAGCATTCGCGCTATTGCTCGAAACCCAAATATAGACTTACAATCAATAGGAATCTATTCAAAATCAGATATTCAACATCACATTAGAACACAACAATTCCAAGAATTATTAACACAAATGGACACTATACAAAGACAATCAATAGACCAAAATTTACGCAAACTTGCGGAAACCGCAGGATTTGCCGATATCTACACGCAAGACTATAGCGGATATTTTAAAGACATTAAAGATTATATATATCTAAACGGTGAAAAATACCGTCCCCAAGATATATCACCAATTAACATTTTTAGCTTTGTTACACTCAAAAATGAGATCCTCGATTTTCTAGGATGGCCCTATTACATCTTAGAAAAATTGACTATTTTATACGCAATGTTTAACTTTATTGGATTTCTTTTCTCACTTTTAAAAGGAATCTACAACACATGTGCTATACACACACAAGTAAACAGACAAGCAAGCGTAGCACGCATACTCTTTGCAGGATTTTTTGGAATCTTTTCTACATCTATAAACAAAATTCTTTTAGACGCACAAACAAAAGAATATAACACAAAAATAGCAACACGACAAAATACATACGACGAAGAACATAACAATGTAGACATAACGCCAACGGCACCACAATTACCACCCCTACCAAATAACCATCCACTATCCCTAGTCCCACGAAATTTTCGAAATTTAGCCATCACACATAATCCAAATTTTCGACTCACCACATCACAAAGTCCCATCCAACATATAATGACACACCAGTCACAAGATGATAATACTTATGAACAAATTATTGAACAACCCCATACCACCGCTTTTCAGTCTCAAAATAATCATTTTTTTAGCCCACGATGAGCCGCCAACTTGGATCACTACACCGATCAAATTCCCACCCAACCAATCTTACCTCTCCAATCCCAATAATACCACTTTTTGCTTTTCCGCCACCCGATTTTCCATCTAGTAATGTAACATCAGGCATGAATTCCGACACTAATTCACACATCTCAGTTTTATATTCCATCTCACAACTCAATAACCCGAATATTGAAACCCCCGATGAATTTGCCGACTCAGAACCATCCCCATCCAATAATTTTCATAACTCTTCTAATTTTTCTCAACCCCCTTTTCAACCCATATTATCCAATAACCCTGAACCAATCACTCCCACACCCTCTTATGCTTCCCAAGTTACCCCAACCTACTCCTCATACCATTCTGACCAATCATCTCATTCTCCAGACACCCCCCGAATCTCCCCAGAGCTAGATAATTTTATTACCCTTCAACAACAACCCTACCACCTTAATACCCCAACCATAAACCAAATCTCCTCCACAATAAATTCATCCAACCCCCCTACCCCTACACCCTCTTCAAATTATACTGAATCATTAGCACCATCATCCACATCAACTGAATCTTCACTCAACACTAATAGAGCTTACCGCACTTTTAAAAGAAAGTTCCCCAACCATCCTTTCCCAGCAAAACCAGGAACAGCCCGTGAATACATCAACCACCCCAAGCATACTAACACAAAAGAATTTTTAGCCATCACCTTACCCTCATTCCCACAATACACCTTAAACACCCCCCACGACACTACCGAAACACGCAACTTTGTAGATGAATACGTTTTAATGCCCACTCTCTCTTGGACCTCATATTATCATTTTACTAACCCTCTTTGCTTACCTTTATCTAACACTCACATCGATATAGAGCGAAATACGGACATGCTATATCGACTCACTACACCACTAACCGCTAGACAATTTACTTACGTTGGATATAAAAAATCACTAAAAACACACACTGCACCTAGAGCTAACGAATATACACTCGAATACTATGATCACAACATCATCAGAGCTAACCAAGATCAATTCTTAGACGACGATCGCTTCGCTAATCCACAAATTACCGAGAAATTTTTCATCAAGACACCATATATATTTACACTAAACATCTTCGACCGAAAGTTTGATCACATTATTTCAGAAGCACTAACAGACACACAAGCATACGAAAGTTTTAAAGAACGCTTCCAAATATTTTCACTAACCTTTCATTTCCTTGCACCACACGAAAGAGATTTACACTGTTCACACGATATTATGTTGCGCACTAAACAAACCCACACATATAGTTATTATCGCTTCATCCAAAATCACTTTGACCTACACACACCCTCTAGACAACCACACCATCGTTTTCAATTCATTAATTCCAAATACACTTCACCATTTTTCCTAAATTTCACATATTGCATTAAAGATACTAACCTTCATGGTATTCTTCGTAATTATGACCCCATAACCCAAATGTACATCTTCTGTCCCATCACCAAGACCTTCAACGCCGAAGAATCCCGACCCTTCCTTATCCCGCACGAGTTTGTACAACCTATAGAAATCCCAATTTTAGAATTCATTCACAACACTAAATTCAATCACAAATTATATAATCTAATCCAAAACACACCTTATGAGTTTGCAGTTGGCACTGAAGAACTAACCACTATCAAGGCACTTCAATTGCTTTGGCCACTGCTTCAGACTAAAAATATCATCCGCATCTTAGCTAAACTACTAACAACTTCAGAACTAATTCACGACATCTTCCCCCACGGTTTTTTCCCCGACGACTAACAGGTAAGTATGAATTAAATGAATATTACTAACTAATTAAAATATTAAAAACTCACCATTCTTTATCCATGTTTTCTTTAGATTTTTAGCCTTCATCCGACAATCACCTACAAAAACCACAAAAGACAAATAAAAATCGCAAATTTCATCAAACAGATTTCAAAAATTCTATTAATCTCTTACACTTATAAATTTATAAATTTAATACCAATGCAATAAATTCATTTCTAAAATTTTCCCCACAAGCAGTAAATCTAATTATGATGAAAATTTGTAACTTAAAATTCCCCCATAACTAGCAGTAAATTTCCAAATTCCATGCAGTAAATTAATAAAATGCAAATGCAGTACTAACCTTTTGATATTCTCATTTATTCGCACAGAAATTCTATCCACACTCGCACAGCTCGCCCACGAAGAATTGTTTAAAATAATGAATTTCAGTTTCAAGTTTTCACACTCAACAACTCTAACATATAATAACATGTTTCAAACTTTCCTTTAACCCGGTTGGAAAGGAATCATATACTAAACAAAACTAACCAACGCAGTTTACTAAATACCACAAATCATAGAATAACAGCATGACTAAGAAAAGGAAACCAACGGTACCCAAACCGGATTAACCCAGTTTAAAACTGGATAATTTATTCTTTTGAAGACTATTATAAAGTCTAAGAAAGAAATAATAAAACACAAAAAAGTCGAAAGACAAACCCATACCACGAACAATTTGATTTTTGGAAAAAGGACATAACCAACAAGACATAAGAAAAACCACAACAAACCCAACATAAAACGTTGTCACATAACAGGACCCCTCACAAAAACCGCATGAAATCATACTCCCACTCCTGGCCTAACCCACCAGGAAGGACGTCCTGAGCATGCTCTATAGCCGGCCTAACCCACCGCGCTACATCCACGCTTTGTGACCACACCTCTATTTTTAATAAGAGCTACTCAAGTGTGAGTAACTCTTCAAAATAACCGAACTAAAACAAAAAGCTTTTGTGAAAACAACTAACTAAAATCATAATTAAAAAATATTAAACTAATAAATGTTTTATAAAATGTAAATTACATTATGCAATACATAGATCAGAATACAACACCAAGGACGAACATCTAAAGACAAAACGACCCCACTACACTCGAGAGGGAATGACCAACCACAATCGATATGCCACTCACGCACTCACAATCACAACTCAAAGGATTTAGAGTACGACTTGACTTCGCAGAAAAGGACTGCATTGAACTAGACCAATGACCACCTCGATGTTCAAGTATACGTACAGATCCGAGTAACCAGGCACCCCCTCCACGCACAATCTCCACGCAGAACAGAAAAACCTGACATAGCAAACCATTCTGAAATCAGATTTGAGTTTGTTGCAAAGACTTAGTCGTTGTCACTAGAAGACACAACGTCTTATGTCTCAAACTCCAGCTTCCTGGAACTTCTTTAATAAAAAGGAAACAGAAGAAATAAGATGTTCGCCAAACGCCAACGTCCATCATCCATCCTTCGAATTGCAGAAGAACTATTCTAAAAAACTCTGTAAAACCCGGATGGGTGGAACCTGATCTAAACTACATTTTATGATTGGATAAATTAGATATTTTACCAATGTAAAGTATTTAATATTAACCAATCATGATCCATCTAACTAACAACCCACTTATTTGTAAGTGCTGAAGTTACTTGTAATTTCAGCACCAGAGAGATTTGAATTTAACTTAGAAATTAGTTGGACTCTCCCGAGCACTTCAGCAGCCGCAATAAACCAGTATACCCTAGATCTATTGAGCCTAGCAGAGACTAGTTAAACAACCTGAGACTAGATAGTATAAGAGTAAGATTAGGATCGGTATTAGACTAAGAAGTTGCACGAATCTATCCGGCCGAAAATAAGATAGCGTGACGAGCAGACGGTGTACCCTATCCGAAATTACTCTATGAGTTAACCAACTCGGTCCTAACTCATATATATTATTTAGTTCTTGCAACATATTGTGGATGTGACGTGGGTTTAAAAGTTGGTAGATTGAACTAATTTATTCACAATTTTATCCTCTATTTTCCTCCGTTTTCACAATTATTCCCGATGATCAGCGGCTGTTGTGCCGCAGTTAAGAACCTGCCAATTACCTTTGACGTCCATGAACTTGACAATGTCTTCGGAGGGGAAGAGGCCATACAGTCCATTCTCGAGGTAATGGAAGCCATTAATGTTATCAGAGGACACGGCAGTTGTGTTGGGGCCGTGGGGGATGTAGAAGTCCACGAAGGCAGTGTATACCTGTTTTGGAACAAAGTTTCACTCATTTAACTGCAAAATGTCACCACTGGATGTTTGGTTGTGTTTAAATTTTTGAAGCAGAAATTTATGTCAAACTGTTTCATTCTGTAGGCATCATAAGAAAACAATTATTTATAATGTGCTCACTTTGCCGATTTTTTACTGATTGGTTTTGCTTGACAAAAGCAAAGCAGTGTTGAAATCTGAAAATTTTTTCAACTGGTTGAAATCGGAACCAGGAATGTTGGAAAAGTGTTGTCTTCTCGGCTTAGGAATGTTTTGAATCTTTTGTTAGGGTAAAAATTCTTCAAATGGTATTTTCGGCAGAAAAATCGTTTCGAGTAAAATTTCACTCAAAGAGCTACCTACATTCACTAGAGGAAGGATGTTACCCGCGAACCATAACCATTCTCACAGTAAAAAAAAGCAAATTTGTCAAAAACTTAGAAAAATATAGATTGTCAGTTCAGTTTGATATTTTTTGTTCCGACTTTCGAATAAAGTGACGGATTGTTTGTGCTCGGAGTGTTCTTTTGTTCAGACTAATTTTGACATTTTAACTAGTCATTTTTGACGGAATTTTTTTTATATCATCTGAAAAGTATTGTTATCTTGAACTCAAATTTAAAAAATTGTTTTACCTGTGATCGTTTTTCGTTAATTTATGGGGTTTAAGCATTGCCATTTTGGCCAATTTGAGACAATTAAAGCGCGATAAAACTCGCGCTATTGATGTGTAAGCGGAGTCCTAATCCGTCTTAGCAATTATAGCAAATAGCCTGATTTAACCAATTTGGAACAATTTCTATGTTACTAGGAGCGAAATATATGACTTCGTACTTTATATGCTTTGATTTAAAAAAAGTATTCAAATTAGAACAAGACTGCTCGTATCAGGGCGAAGCCCTGAATGTTCCGACAGCCTTTTAAGGTTTATGGAGCAGCAGTAGTAACATAAAAAAATTAAATGAAATTTGAAATTTTTAATGAAAATCATCCCCCCACATGCCATATAAAGTATAAAAAGATAGACTTCATTCCTTGTAACAAATCAATTATGGCAAATTAGCTTCGTTCAACCAATTTGGAACGACGCGGTAATGGCGCAACATATATCGCGCGTTAATTGTTTCAAATTGGCCAAAATATAAATCTTTAAACCCTCATAACTTTACAGAAAATAATCACAGGTGAAATATCTTTTCAAATTTAAGCTCAGGAAAACAATGGCTTTCGAATGATATTTAAAAAAAAATTCCGTCAAAAATGGCTAGTTAAAAAGTCGAAATTTGTCTGAAGAAAAAAAAACCCACCCGAGCACAAATATTGCGTTAATTTCGTATCAAAAGTCGGAAGAAAAATCAAATTTTTGAAAATTCATCAATTGTTTTACAGCAACCGCTGCTTTATAAAACCTATAAGGCAGTTAAAACTTTCAGGTCTTTGCCCTGATACTAGCAGTCTTGTTTAGCATTTTAAAATTTGTTTTCGCTGGAATGCATTTGCATTTCAGTTACTATTACACTTTCGTTCTATTTTAATATCAACACAAAAACTAAGATGCAAAGCATAATTCATAGCATTACATCTCTTTTGTAGTTACGACTTTCCAAGAAAAAGGAATATTTATGCTCGGTGTGGTTTTTTTATTCCGTCAAATTGAGCCGAACAACAAAAATAGTTTTCAACAAAATTTTTTGGTAGTTTATTCAAGATATCGAATTCAAACCTAAAACAATATTTTAAATCTGACTTTTTTGTAAAGTTCTGAGGGTTCAAAACTTGCCAAATTGGCCATGTACTGGACTAAATTGTGCGCGCTTTGAAGAATTTATTCATATTGCTGAAAACGAATTTTTCATATTATTTATGCGTGACGAATTATCCCGCACAACAAAATCATTCCATATTAAAATGAGGCTTTTGCACGACTCGAAGTTATACTCTTTGATGTTTTCCAAAATTTATAGATTTTCATTATTTTATTTTCTCAAAAACTATTCGATTTGAATTAGGGGACAGTCGGAACATTCTGGGCTTTGCCCTCTTATGCGAGCAGTCTTTTCATGCACTTAGAATACACTTTACAATCCTAGTGCTAAATCTTTGGTAAAACATTGTTGATATATCACTGAGCAGTTTATTGATGATTCATCGAAAACTCATTGATTGATTAGCAATGATTCATTGCTGAAAAATGTATCAAATACCCACCGATAATTATCTATCGATGAGCCATGAACTATAGATGGTCAGTTATACAGCAGTGCTAATTTATAACAAGACTAAACCATGAATGTGCTGATTGCATTTTAAGGCCAATTTTTTTTTTTTTGGTTGAAAAACTGACAAAAACATTGAAAAAAATTACATTAAAACCTTTTAAATCTTTTTATTCAATTTACCCCGCCACTCGCTAATGTTGACTACAAAGTGATGTAATTTGCACAGTTAGTTATAATAAGACCAAATAGTTAGCCTCAATTCAGTATGGAACCCTTTAATCCGTCGCTTTTGCGTGTCATAACGCAATACATCGCGCGTTGATTATCCCAAATTGGGAGAAAAGACTGCTCATATATCAAGGCTAAACCCTGAAAGTTCCGACTACACTATAAAGCGTCCACTTACGACCAATCAATAAAAAAATATTTGTGGTTGAATAATTGATTAGATAATTGAGAAAAAAAAGAATTTTTGTTTCTTTTTTTCTTCATTTTATAACCCCACACGCTATGTAGAGTTTTATGGGTAAGTTTAGCGTCTCGTATTGTTATAATGGGACGAAATTGCGGGCGTCAAGGCAGTTTGAAACGCATTAAGTCGCTTCTTACGCGTGTTATAAGTACGTAATATATCACAGTTTAATTGTCACAAATTGGCAAAATTATATCGCGCGTTGATTATCCCAAATTGGGAAAAAGAATGCTCGTATAGGTCCTTATAGTACTTATCAAATCCCCGTAAATTTACAAAACCTACTCACAGCTGAAATATTTTTTTAAACTTGAGCTCAGAACAACAATATATTTCAGATGGTTTCAAAATTTTTTTTAATCAAAAACGCTTTGTTAACAAGTCGAAAATTGACTGAATAAAAAACCGCACCTGGCTTAAGTATTTCGCACTTTCTTCCAAAGTCGGAACAATTAGCATTTTTAAAACCTCCAAAATCGAATGTAAAATTTTTTTCCAAGTTTGAACTAAACTTGGAAAAAAAATTCACATTCGATTTTGGAGGTTTTAAAAATGCTAATTGTTCCGACTTTGGAAGAAAGTGCGGAATACTTAAGCCAAGTGCGGTTTTTTATTCAGTCAATTTTCGACTTGTTAACAAAGCGTTTTTGATAAAAAAATTTTGAAACCATCTGAAATATATTGTTGTTCTGAGCTCAAGTTTAAAAAAATATTTCAGCTGTGAGTAGGTTTTGTAAATTTACGGGGATTTGATGAGTACTATAAGGACCTATACGAGCATTCTTTCTCCCACAAAATATTTCAGATGATATAAGCAGTTTCCGTTAAAAATGCTAATTTAAAAAGTCGAAAATTGGTTGAATAAAAAAATCGGCCGAAGTATAAATATTCCGTTTTCTTCAAAAGTAACAAACAAGGATAAATGTTTCAACCATAATCTTTCAAAAAGAACAAGAAAAGAAGTTTTTTCAATGTTGTGTTGTTTTTCTGCGTGGTGTCATAAAAGGATCTGACGTAGAACTATATATGCATATTCGACAGTTGTTGTAATTCAGTCAAACAGGATAACAGTTTTTGAAGAAAAAAGACTGGAGAAACAAAAAAATCATTTAAAAAATCAAAATTGGGAACAAACTTCCGAATTTTTTTTAATGTCGTTCGATTCACGACTGAAAAAGCTTTAATATGATAAATCACTCAACCCAGTTTGATATTTATTTCTGGTAGCAGATTTTGTGTGGAAAACAAAAAGAAAAAAGAAGAAAAAACTAAAACACACCCGAATACTAAGTTCCACCCCATTTTCAATGGTCGGAACAAAAACGCTGATTCAAAGATGATTATCTATGGAAGATCAATCCAGGATACGAATAAAAGCTTTTGGGATAAGTTGAACCTTCTTCAATAAAAAAAAATCTGACTCAATTGTCAGTTGCAAGATTTGACAATTATTAATTTTTTTATTAAGACTCAAACATTTTTGCAATACAATTGCAAACAAGAATATTAACATCCGAACTTACTAAAAACTACATCGCAATATGACATCAAAATCCAAAAGTTAACAAAGAGTTCAATAAGCCAGTTTCTATAATAATATTCTATAATAGTTTGCCCTTTAACCCATTATTGAGGAGAACTTTGCAATAGGGATATATATCCTGTCACTATGTATGCAGGGGCGGATCTAGGATTTTGTCGAGAGGGGCGGATTTTCAAAAAAAATATAAAAAAATTTGTCGCTTTTTTTTCAGTTCGAACAAATTGATTTTCTGAGCTCTCCCAAATCACTATAAAGACCCCATTTTGGCGAAATTTTCCGCGCCACAGACAAGTTTCTGAAAAACCTGCCAAAAAGGCGTTTTTAGGCACTTTTTGGAAAATTTTGATAGCATTGTAAGTAAAAATTCTAAGAAATATGAATGACTTCTCGGCTGTAGTTATTTTTACGGACCTTTGTCCCATAGTTTTTGTACGGTTTATCTTCAATTTTATCACAATTTACGGTAAGGTTTGCATACAAAATCAGCTGCTCTTACAAGTTGGATTTAAGTGAGAAGGGCTGGTAACATCTGGTATTTTATTACAACAACTATTTTTGACTAAACCATTAGTTAAAACTTTGAGTGGTGTGAGCGAGCACCCAAAAAATAGATTAAATTTTTTTCAGGCGGGTTTCAATCTCAAATATACGAATTAATTCCCATGGTGAATGACTTAATTAAATTTTTGGGTGGGTAGCCCAGATAGATCGAGTTTTTTTTTCCAAACTCTTCCACATATATTTTATAAGAGGAAATAAATGTTTCAGTCTGTTTGAATAGTCTTGAATGTAATCATGTAAATTATAACATATGGGAATTCATGAAATCTCGAACCTGTTCTGATTGTTGTGCAGTTAGGGGAGTGGTCGATAGGCAGAAAAAGTGGTTGAGTTGTTGGCAGTGGGCGTCGTCATAACTCCACACGTTAGGCTGCGGCTAAAACCATCGGACATCACTGCATATTAGTTTTATTTGGAACGGCCTCAGCAAAAGCAATAAAAATTATGATTTTTTCTTGATTTTTTCTTGATTTTTTCTCAGCATTTTTTTTTCTGAAGACTTTTTCAGTAACAACCTGAAAAGGTTCTCAATTGATAATTGTATGATTTTTTTTAACACTTTTGTCAGTGCATTCAAGAATTTGCGACAAAATTAGAAATAAGATAACTAAATTGAGAATAACTCAAACTCTCTACTCTAAACATTTACTCACCCCGGTCCGTTGGTAACAGTAGAAGTCGCCATTTCTGTTTTGGATGGCAAAATAGTCTGCTCTCCATGGCGGTTGGAAATCATTCAGGTATTGCACGCCCGTTTCAGGGGTATCCACCACATGAATGGGCGTCTGACAGATATCTGAAAGCCAAACAAAAACTTTAAGAAGAACCGCCAGTGAGATTACTAGTGGGCGGAAGAAGAGCCATCGAAAATTCCAGCGTACCATGAAAAAAGCCGGCAGCCAATGTTCTGAAAAAAAACGCGGCTAAGCCAACTTTTTATCCTCTTAAATCAGTGAAATCACCGACGATTGATTAATTAATTGGTTTTAGAGTCTTCCTCTCAAGTATTAAGTAAGTGATTTCAGAGTTACTGTGATTCCGAGTTCGTGGTTTGCAGACTTAACGAGATTCAAATTTCTAAGCTAAGATGATTAATAAGCAGAGCTGTAATTTTTAAGTATGCCAGAGCACTCCAGGGGCGGATTTAGGGAAGGGGTGCGCGGCCGGTGGACGCCCCCACCCCCCTCAGCCATGAGGGATTCGACCCCCTGCCGACCCACAGGGTCCCCTTTTGTATTATTTTGAGAAATCCGTTTTTTGGCTGACTGACCCAAAAATTTTTCACATAGTCACTTTTGGCGCCAAATCATACTAATTTTGAGGGGGGAGCGCGCGTTTTCCAAAAAGTGCTTAAAAACCTTAGTCAATAGCCAATTGTTATCTTGCAAGATCTTGCCAAATTCTTGCAAAATTCTTGATAAGATGTATGTATTTCTTGTCAAAATCTTGTAAGATTCTTGCAAAGTCTTGCAAGATAACCATAATTCAAGGTAAACATAATTTTGTAAGATTGCGAAAAAAACTGGTTCTTATTATTCGTTGAAATACTAAAGTAGCAAGCCACGTACTAAGAATGCGTCTATTAGCGACCCATAGATACATATAGCCCGCTAGCTGCGACAGCACTAGTGGTTTTCAAGTTTCGTTGTATTTTTTTCCAGGTTTTTTGAAAGGAGCCACAAATTTCTCAATATTTGTCGGCTTGATAGAAATGAAAACAAGAAATAAAGTATAAATTAAAGTCATACAAATAAAATTAGACATAAAGCCTATGCGAATCTGCGAAAACATCAAAACTAGCAAGAATATTTATGATACATTCGAAAATTGAAAAACTCAAACAAAAATGTGCTTAAAATGGTCATGAAGACATCCAACTAGCAAACCATGTATGATGGAAGTATCTTTTTGAGACTCATGCATACATGCAGCCCGCTAGCTGAGATGGCCCCAGTTTTTTATGTCAATTGTTGTATCGTTTTCCTGGTTTCTTGCTAATTTTCATAAGAAGTCCAGCAAATGACGAACTATAAATCGAGGTGACCACAAGGAAAAAAAGGCTCTAGGACAAACAGAAGCCACCAGGGAACAAAAAACGGAACAAAAAACAAACATTAAAATCGAAAACAAACAGTTGACAAAAACCCACAAAACCAGAAGAAGGAGAAGAAGAAGAAAAAAAAGAAGAAGGGTCAAAGAAAATAAGGATACGGAATCCTTTACATGCTCAGAGAGTTAGATTTTAAAAAGTTAAGTTAGACTGAACGTCCGCAAGGGAACATAAATTGTTTTTCAGATATCCTGCAGGAAAAAGAGTCAAGGGAGTGTCATTCAGCCAGATTGGTTAACCTTGAACTCAAGGACATTCAAATACAGGGACTTCTGAATCCATATGGGGGAGTGAGCATGATTTTTCTTCTCGAAATAACCCAACTTAAGTTTCTCGTAGCATCAAGGTGTAGAACATGAAACGAAAAAACTGTTTCACTACCTACTACTACTCCCTATTTTGTCAGTTTTGTTCTTTTAAATTTTTTTAAATGTAATAATTGTTTATTCTCATCCGATTAACTTTTTAAGATTGTCAATTTTAGTTCAAAAAATTATAATTCAAGTTTCATCATTCAGACTGCTCTGCAATAAATAACGTTTTTATTAGGACAAACTTAATGCGGAAAAAATCTGAAACCAAAATCATCCGTTTCATAACATCGTGAACTGAAAAAAGAAAACTTGGGGTCACTTTGGTTTTGAACTTCTTATGGCTTATCAGCGTTGCGAATCACGTTGTGGCATGGAGATTTAATTGAAACAGCTGGAAAGATTATGATTATATTTTTTTAAAAAATCGGCCATCTCTTCACTCTTCGATCTAAAATTTGTTTGAGAAACAAAAGAAAACTGTTCGTATATCAAGGCAAAACCCTGAGAACTTTGGCTGCCATCTAAAGCTGAATAAAAAAAATTGTAGTGTAATTCGCGTATTGAAACAAGCTATCACAGTATTATTCTCGGTTGGCAATGAAAAGATTTCCACATCGATACACATACGCAGTCAACTTTTCTTAAACTGGTCTGAACAAAAAAACTACTCGAAAGTCGGAACAAAAGTTGAAAAAATTGAAATCATTTTAGAGCTTTTTCTTCTTTTTATTACCACACGCAATTTTCAGTACAAAGGAATGAATATAGCGCTTCACACGGTAATAATAAGGCCAACTTATTGGCCTAAACTCACTTTGGATCGATTTAGTTTACCGCTTACACGCGCAATAAGATCGCAACATACTGCGCGTTATTTTTTCCAAATTAACTAAATTGCCAAATTTCAAACACCCATAAATTTACAAAAAATTGATGACATCTCATAAAATTTTTGTTTGTTCAGAGCTAACACAACAAAAAATTTAGAAAGTATAAAAATTAGTCAAAAAGCCGAGTAAAAAAGTCGAAACTCGATGATTGAAAAAGCACGCTACGCATGAAACTTGGAACAATAATTCAAACTGATTTTTCACATCCAGACAAGTTTCGTGAGTTTTTGATGGATACACGAATCACGAAACACATAAACGGCATGATATTGAGTTATCACTTGAACCCACGCAGCGTTATCTGGGCAATTTTACATCGGTCATCTGACTAATAAAAATTAGCTGACATTTTAGACGCCATGCTTGGTATTTTGAATACTTTTGTGGTTTTCAATGTAGTATTTTTAAAGCTCTCAAACATTATGAGTGGAGGAAACTAATAAAAACAGAGGGGAAATTTTTTTATTCAAAACTCTACACTGCTGATTTGATTTAACCGGACAAAACAAAAAAAATGCAAAATTTTTATGTCTTTTTCTCGAAATGGGAAGACCTTTTCAACATAGAATTTATTTCTAACAATTTATTCGATGCAAAAAGATACCTGTGTCGAGCAGGGATGTAAAAAAATATATTGTATTTAAATATATTGACAATAAATACATTTAAATAATTTATTTTCCAGTTAAAAAAATAAATATATTTATTTTTCGTAACAATTATTGTTTGAATTGCAAAGCAGGTTTCCAACATAACTCGGCCAATAATTGAAGCTTGGCTTGGCTTGGCTAATTGACAATTCAATTGTCAGAATGCAAGCGACGCACGATTAATCCATTCGAGTTAAGCTAGCTATCAACTTTGAAGGACAATTATTTTTGTTCATTAATAAAACACTTTGGAACGCTTTCACTGTTAATGAAATCATCAATTCATGATTGTTCAGAATTTTTTCTCCCCGTCAGGAAACATTTAAATATATTTTTATATTTATTTTTCTCCTCAAAAATATAAATATATTTATTTTTTGAAAAAATATATTGAAATATATTATTTTACATCCCTGGTGTCGAGGTATTAATTCTATGTTCAGGACCAAAATGGACCAAAATTTAGCATGTTCAGACCGTTGGGACCAGAATATGGTATTGATTCGGGGTCAGAAAGCTACGAAACTAATTTTACCATTATTGGATTTCTTCTGAGGCTACAGGCAAAGCAGCCTAGTTCGCCAAAAACCCTATTATAGAAGTGGTGCCGAACAACTATGGGACTCTTACTGGGATGTTGTTCCAAGAACTATGAGTCGGAATAACCTCAATGACAGCTCAGCTTTTTTACTAGTCATCAGCTTCATCAGTAAGTGGCCTCAAAAGTCTGCTAATAATGTTTCATGGTTTAGAACATAAGAAAAAATTGAAACAGAATTCGGTCCGTGTCAAAAGCACCGGATCTGCGAAACTTGTCCGTTTATTATAAAAGGACCACTCACACTTTGCATTCTGGGAGAAAGTTGCATGCTCCGAAATTATGACCAGTTGCAACGTCGGCAACAAAACAAACTGGCTGTCGGACACGACCAGGAATCCGTACCCAGGTTCAATGCCATGCACCTGCATCGGTGGAATCGGAGTCACGTATGGAAGTGTGACACTTGTCGTGCCACTAGACGTTGAGCTTGTCGTTGAGCTTGTAGTGTGACTAGACGTGTAGCTCGTAGTCGAACTAGTAGTGGAGCTTGTCGTACTGCTAGTCGTTGAGCTTGTGGTGGAACTAGTAGTTGAACTAGTTGTCGAACTGCTCGTGGAACTAGTAGTCGAGCTTGTGGTCAAGCTTGTAGTCGGACTGGTAGTTGAACTTGTAGTCAAACTAGTAGTCTGCGATGTGTTTCCTGGAGTTGTTAGACTTGTCGTGTATCTCGAAGTCAGACTCGTAGTTCCACTTGTAGTTTCCAAACTTTGTGGCTGCTGTTCCAAGTAGTTATTGTTTGCGTTCATCTTAAGTGAAGCAGCGCCAAAATTACTTCGAACTTCTCGGAAGTTTTTCACGTACCAGTAGGTTCGAGAGACTTTCGAGAAGTATTGGGGGTCTAGAGCCCAAGGATAAAAACGGCAGTCACTGTTTTGAGAGTTCCAGCTGAATGATTCACAGCTTTTGGTGTTCACACAGTATTGGTTGCATTCGTCGGGATACATGAATTTGTACGACACTTTCCAGCCGTCTTTGTGGTCGGCGGGTAAGCCTTCGATATAAATCAGGCGATCCGAGTTGATTAGGCCTTTTACCAAGAATACACCTGTAACGTGTATTAAGGCCAAAAAGCGGAAAATGACTCGATTCATTTCAACTTTCCACTTGTTATTCCATTTAGAAAAACTTTCAAATATCTGTGAAACTTTTATTGATACACAGGCAGTTCAATAGATACGATTTCTTGAGTAAATTATTCAAATACCGGAAAAGATAGAAGTAAATGCATCTGATATTTCAGGTGTTCGGTTATTTTATGAAACCGAATTTGGACGCAATCGAATTAGTATAGAATAATTTCAAATTCCATTCTCGAACAGAAAAAAAACACTAAAATATTAGAGTAAACTCTGCTTGAAACTACAAATTTACATGGTTATAAATAATTGATATAATATTTTTAATAGCGAAAACTAAAAAATTTTGGTAAGAGATTGCACAATAAATAAAATATTTAGATATACGGCTTCAATTTAACTGGAAACCTACCAAGCAATATCTCCGCTAGTTTTTAATATGGCATAGGGAGTTTTCTTTGCTGGTAGTTTTACGGATCTGGCCCATGTGTTCGGAATTTTAATTAGGTATTTTAAATTAAAACTAATGCAAGCTATCAACATTGGAACTCGGAAGCAGAAGTTTCGGAAGAGCTGCTTGCCACTTTTCCTCCAACTGATTGCCCTCCGTTGGGTGAGGTGGGGGTGCTCGTGTCTTTCAAAATGGGGGGAGGTACTTGGTGTTGATGTACGTGATGGTGATTTAGGTGGGAATTACTGTTATGCGTGCTTATATGGCCATGATTAGCATTCAGATTTCCATTGTTGGTCACGTGATTCCCGTTGCTATTCACGTGATTTCCATTGTTGTTCACGTGACTTGTCTGGTGCTGGTGTCCCGCGTGCATCTGGCTGAGAGTGGTGGGCGATGCGAGAACCAGTTCGATTTCCGAGTAGTTGCCGAGTCTTTCCACTTCGACGTCTCGTCTCAGCCGTGTGTTGGGTAGCTTTCGAACACGCTCAACATGTACGGGAAACCTTAATAAAACAAAGAATTAATCGTATACTGCAAACGTATCACAAATGATTTTCACGGCAGTAACAACTACAGTGAAATTTTCAGGCAGTTCGACAAAAAACGAACTGTTTTTTTTTTAAATATTTTTTTAAACTTTTTTGTTTTTCTTGAAAAGAGCATCGCGTTCAAATTAAGCTTCTAAAATTAAGAAACAACCATAATCATAGCAAAAATCATGTAAAATCATTTCAAGTCCTCTCCAATTAACCAATCCATGCCTAAACTTTGCCAGCAGTATAAAAACGGAAACATTCAGGTTGATTTTTCTTGACAAAGAAAAGTTTTTTAAAATCTTTGTTCTGAACCTTAAACTTGGCCTTATAGGTTTTAGTATGACACCACACTCCAAATTCTAAACGTTTTTTGAGTCGGGAACAAAACTAGTTAGGCCATAAAGCTTTAAGAGATTCAACCAGCCTCAAAGCTCGAGACCCCCTCTTTTCAGATTTTAACAATGAAAAAGGGCAAAGGTGGGAGGGATCTTTTCAGGTTTTTAAAAAAAACTATAACAGGAGATAGAAAATTAAAAATTACATGAATGTGAAGCGGAGAAATTGGCAGTTGCAAGTGAATCTATAAAAACTGAATCTATTATTGACTGTTTTGCTGTTACAAATCGAAGATTCAAATTCAGTTCGTAATTGATCTTTTTCCTGAATAGCCCCCCTTTTTTTTTGAAAAAACCTAAGATCTTACCACAAATCTTAGATCTGTGCCTTGTTCCTTCTTTTCATATGTGAATTCTGGTCAGAAAAAATCAATCAATCTCAGATTCATTCTTTGAAAGCAGCTCAAGGAAATTTTTAAGATTTTAGAAAGTTTTGAATTAGCAAATCATTGCAGAAGACTATTAAAATTTTTAAATGTAATTACTGTTGCTAGGCTTCAAATTGGCTTCAATCTGTTGTTAAATTAGTTTCAAATATACCTCAAATAAATTTAACCGAAGTTCAACAAAAACGTTGATAGATTTCAATTCGAAGATATGCAAGGTACAAACATCAGATTTGAGCCCTGATCACTCAAAGGGTCATGATTTTGGTACGTTTTAAAAACATACATTAATGGTCAACTAACCCTAAAACTTATTGAGAACTCAAGCCTCTGACGCCAATAAGGACTTTTTTGAGGAGGAGCGCTTAGTCCGGAGGAGAGAAGCGCTAGGGTTGACCAAACTCGCTATCCGAAAATTTTTCTTTCGGAAATCTTACAGTTTCTTTCGGCTCTAACTTTTAAAATTACGGCTTTTATGCTGAGTACAATACGGCTTTTATGCTGTTTTGGAGAGATAGGAAAATCATTTTGGTCGACCTAAACAAGGTTGACAAAATTCCTGCTCTGCGCCTGGTTCCGACAACGTAAAGGCAAGAAATTTGGGTTTCGGGTTTATTCCCCAGCAAATTCAGGTGCCACAAATAAATATCAGATAAATATTAAAATAAAAATAGCAAATTCAGGTGCTACAAATCGTAAACAAATCTATTTTCGAGCAAGAAATGAGATAAAAAAATAATATTTTGAAAAATTCGATGGGACAATTACCCATAGATCTATCTGTTGGTTATTGTTTGCACAGAAAACGACAGTTCTTTTTAATATATGGTTTTTTGTCACAATACTTTTCGGAGAAATAATTTTCGTATAACTTTAAGGGAACTTTTCCATTTTATTTATTGGAGGTTAACATGCAAAACTTTTTATTTCTTCGAAAAGTAATCTCTAGTTTGACATAACACAGTTCTTTGCCTTGGTCATTTTTTAAGTACCTTAGAAGGAATTATGTAGGAATATATAAAATTGTAATTTCCCAAAAACAAAAGGACATCCCACTGATGTAAAAAAAGAAACACCTTGACTTACGTTTCGAATAACTCCAAACATGCAACCTCAATTAAGCCTCTTAGCGTCAATTTAGTCAGTGGCAGGTCAATTTCGACGAAGTCCGGATCCTTGCCTGCAATTCGCACCTTCACGATTCTGTAACTCCTCGACACTTCTCCTTGTGGGGATCCGAGGTGTGAATTGTTCTGGGAAGAGTGGGATCCATTTGGGTTGGATGAAGCCCAGTTTTGGGAGTTGCTGTTTGGGGAGGTCATGTCGTATGACTGTTGTGGAGGGGGGTGGTGTTGAAGATCAAGGGTAAAGGACTGGTGAGCATTCGGAAGGTGTTGATGTTGTTGATATTGATTGCTATTTATGCTGCTATTGTTGTTGTTAATGTTGTTGTTAATGTTGTGGTGTTTACCGCGGCTTCCTGCTCCACCTCCGTTCATCAGCTGGTGTCTTTTTGTTTCTCCGATCTGCAGGCATAAAATAATTTGGGCATCAGTAAAAATTTGACCTGTTTCCACGTCAAATTAGATCAAGCTCAGTCCAGCAGAACTGCAGCCCCAAAAACACACAAGTAAAAGATCAAATGTTCAAAAAGTTGCACCAAGGAAATAACAAACGCGTGCAGCCTCTTAAAAATTTTTCGCCTTCAAACATAGCTGTCAAAAAAGTTCCCTAAAGGCAGTGACGTGTTAAATTCAAGTTGACATCACTTTTTAGCTGGAATGACATAAGATAAAGTCCAATTTTCGTTTGACGGCTAAGATTACAGCATTTCCTGTTTGCAGTCCATCGCTCTAAGGCTATGACAGTGCATTTTGATTAAAATAATGGCGTAAGCATCTAACACCAGCCTGAAACGTCACCACCAAGAAGCTAAAGTTTTCAGCAAATAATGGGTTTTTATATCGCAAAGAAATCGGCATGATTATGTTTTTACTCTTTCAAAAGCGGGCGTAATAGTGCAGAAATTTTCCAGCAAACTCCGCGCCGCGATGACATTTTTTGGCTTAGAGGTTGAAAGAAAAGAACCAAATAGGGACCCTTTGGGTTGGCAGCGGGCAAATACTTGAAGTAAAATTTATCTCCCCCCAGTTTTGCTAATGTGCGTCGGTACAACGAATTTTCCTCTGTTTTTTCAACTTTTTGAAGAAAATTTCCAAGATTGTTTCAAATTTCTTTGTTTACCCGGAAAGTAGTGAATAAAAAGGATAAAACTGAATTAAACTTAAAATATTTATGGCTTTACATACAGGTTTTTTTTTATGAAATATTTTAAACCAATTTTTCTCGACACTGAGATATGACCAAAAAGAACGCTCAGGACACCAGCAGAGTCTGTAGTTTACTACAGTTGTTTTTAAGAAATGACTGGTTTTCTAAAGTTTATCATTTTTTTTGCAAATATTCTTCTGATGAGAAGAGCTACAACAATCCTCAATAATTTTTTTCTTTCAATGAAACCAATGTTCGATCCATTTTAATTTTAAAAAAATGCTCAAAAATAGACTATAAATCGAAAATTTTTGAACAATTGCTATCTATATTGAGAAAATTTTCTCAAATTTTTTTGATGTCATTCAAATTTCAACTCAAAGGGCATTGCGCGAAAAATCCATCAACCTAGATTGTATTTTTTATATGACGTCATGTATAAATTGGTCGACGTATATAACTTGATCGACAATCCCGGGTTGAAGACCCACCGTTAATTATCGCTTTTTCTGTACTATCCCAGTGATGGCTATTTTCCAGCGCTGATTCATGTATAATGATGAGTGCGGGATCGAACCCCAGTAGTTTACCGTTTGAGCTCATTTTGATAAGTTTTTTTTTTTTTACTGTTTCATCTCTAAAAATTAGCCAAATTAGCAATAACCTACCGATAAGTTTGCTATTGTGGCAATGAACATCGTTAATTCATCAATGGCATCGCTGTTTTTTTCTTTTTTCTATCGCTGATTTTCAATGTGAACTCAACCTGGGATCGCGTAAAATGGGAACTTAAGTAGAAATATCAAAATTGAGCATTGAACAGTTCTTATGGCCACTTTAAGTTCGTGGTAACTTTTTAAAACAAACTCGAAACCAGGCGTGATAATGACTGTTTTAGGATACAAACACTCAGTTTCAGTCAGCGGATAGATTAACATAGAGGCAAAGAAAGGGCTTCAGAGTATTTGCGATACCTAAAAACTAAATTCTGTAAGCTAGCGGACAGAAAATGGGAGGGAAACGGTTGAGTCGATTTTCAAAAAATGACAAAATATGACAAAAAAACTACAAAATTTAACCAGTCTATCTCGTGGTGTTCAGTTTGAGGACAACAGTTCAAAAAACGCAATCACAAGCGTTGAAAAGATAATCAGAAAGCCTGTCGATTGCCAAATAGGCCAGCAAAACATGGCTAGACGCCAGTTGAGCCGAAAAAAGTTGTTGTCGTATAAATTTTGATCTAAATATTTCAAAACTCCATCCGCAATTTTGTTTGCACTCATCTCTAGTGGTAATTAGTTTGAAGACACAATTCAAGAAACGCAATCACCAGCGTTGAATATTTATTCAGAAAGCTTGACGACTGGCGAATAAACCTACACCACATGGCTAGACGCCAGCTGAGCTGAAAACAAAATTGTTGTCGTACAAAATTTGATCTGAACTTCTTGATACATCTACATTTTTTTAGCGTTTATCTCTAGTGGTGTTTCTTTGAAGACGACAAGTCAAAAACCGCAATCACCAGCGTTGAATTATTGTTCAGAAATTTTGTCGATTGGCAAAAAAGCGGACAACACGCCAGTTGAGCCGAGAAAACAAAATTGTTGTAAAAAATTTAATCTAGAAAGTCAGGTGACAAAGCTGATATGATATAAGCATATATCATTTCAGCCGAAACAAAAAAACAAAAAAAAAACGAAAATAAAAAGGAAAATAACCAAAATCAGGAATGGTAAATTGGCCAAAAAGGCTGGCTTGCAAGCTAGCAAAAAACGAGACCAATAAGTCAAAAAAAAATTTGAAAAACAAAAATCTATAAAAAATCCATAAGTTTGTCTCAGGAAAACACTGTCGATTTTCTAGAAAACACGGTAGCAAAAACACAATGAATAGCGTTAAACAAGCATTAAGTATCGCTTCCCGAGCGTCTATTGACAACAAAGCTTTGGTAGTGCAAAAAATTTAATTGTCAGAAAAAAAACTAACCCATACAAAAAACTTATTTCAACCAAATTCGCATAGCGTGCTTGGAATAGTGAAATTATAGCCAAATTACTAGAAATGTTAAGGAACTTTATGCGCAACAGAAACACCCGAATGAAAGTTGGTCGGACAAAAACATAGGCGCTATTTTAAAATAGTATACCTCTACATCAATCGGCTTTTTTTCAGCAGCAATGAGAATTTAAAAACTATCTTGCTGACAATTAGAATTAATTGATGGGGAAATTTGAGTAAAATGGTAAGTATGAAACAATGTTGTCGAAACATCATATGACCCGAAGCACCTAGGATTTGACATTTAACCCTATTCTGACATAGTTTATGCCATCTATTTCAAATTGCGTATGCCAAGTTAGCGCATTACCTCTTTCTGGTGACATGAGGTAATTTGGAACATGTCGTAAAATAGCTAATGAGTAACTAATATGAAAAATGCTTTGTGGCCGCTGACCTGCATACCACGTTCCGACTGCTTATAGTTTAGCTAGTGTTATATAACTGGTTAAAAATTAACATCATTATAATTTACACCATTCTCACCCCATACTCGAAATAACATTCTTGTCCAAAACCCATAGTCATGCCATAGCAACCAAGCGGCCATGCCTTAGCAGGCGTATGCCCGATGCTCTAGCAAAAGTCGACTGTTCGAGGCCCATCATGATTTTAACTCGTTGCCTGAGGGTGAAAGGGCACTAGCCAGTTCGGAAAAATAACCCAATAAATTACCGCATGGAGATCGTAACTAGAGGCGCAAATGAACAGCTCATAAGTTGGTTATTTCCTTGGTGATTGAATCGTCTTAATCAGGGGCGGATCTAGGGTTTTCTCGAGGGGGGGGGGCAGATTTTCCAAAAAAACGTCGAGAAATTTTCCAAAAAAACGTCGCTGGCAAAAATAACAGGCGTCGTTAAAAGGCGTTTTTAGGCACTTTTTGGAACATTTAAAAAACTCTTTAGAAAAAATTTAGGGTCCTTCAGCCACAAATGGATATCTGAAAAAAGTTCAAAGGGGGGACCTTTTGGGTCGGCAGGGGGTCGAATCCCTGAAGCGGAAGAGTCCGCCACCCCCCCCCCCCCCCCAAATCCGCCCCCTGGTCTTAATCTAATCTTAATTTGGGGGCCGGATTATTAGAATGTGCACCCATGTAAAAACATCCGATTGAAAAGCTCGCTGATTAAAAATTTGATTACTCGAAATTGCAATTTGGCAAAATAATCATTTCGCCAAAAAGTGTAATTAATTGAAATCGACTTTTACCTTCCAAATCGATATTTACAAAAGCGATTTTTGAAAACTCATTGAATTCTTAGACTTGATTGTTTTCCCTCTCAGTGAAAACCTAATAAAAGCAGGTAGGGTGGAGCTAATTTCCAACTAATCAATAACATAAATTCATTAAATTTTGTACCGCGGTTTGACAAAAACGCTCATCATACAATTCCATACTATGGATAATATGCTGGTCATAAAATTTCTTTCAGTTCTGAAGACAGTAAAATTGTACGCAGAGGCAAAGCGGAGCTTTACACCACATGCGATACAAAAATGATTGACTACGATTACGTGCAGAGGAATCGACAAATCAAGAAAAAATACATCAGAAAATTAATTTTACTGTCAAAAAATATCTAAAAAGTTTTTTTTTGCGCCAGTAGAGTTTTGTTAGAAAAAAAATCAGAATAACAGAACAAAACTGAAATTTCAAAAGTCCATTCTTCGGAAGTTTGAGCAGAAAAAAAAACGAAATTTTTCAATTTGCAAAAACTCAGGCCTGACCGAACTCAAATTTCAGGTCTTTAACCCCTCAATCATGGGTCTTTCAGCTGTGACTAATTCGAACAATGATCTTTGAAACTAGGGGCCCTGCTGAAGCTGAAGATACTTGTTTGACATTTTTAAAGAATATCAAAAAGTTTTGTTAATGAATGATGAAAAACTTAATGTTAAAATTTTCAAATAAGAAGTTGCCAAGACATCAGCAGTTTCTCTATAAAAAATAATTGATTAACCGCTTATGCAAGTGACATACCTTTAACCCGTTCTCATATTACCCATACATTTTAGTAACCCATACAATCCCATACATTTTAATATTACCTGATTTTATCAAAATGGAAACGAGTTTTTAATAAAGCAATTAAAACACTTGTAATATAATCGCAAGAGCATTCATGATATCAGAAACGCATTATTTTCACACTATGGAAAGGTACAGTAAGCATGTTTCAATATTATGAAATTGACAGACTTCGGTGTTCGCTCAAGCTGATGCTCTTCATTTGTTAAGCTACAGTTTTTTATACAAATTTGTAGCGAGCGCGTATAGTTGGACAAAAGTTTTCATAGCATTAGGAGCATCAAGAATTTTCTACTGTAAGAAACCCCCCTCACTGTAGTTGCAACAGTCTCACATGTTTAATGAGATAATTGTCATCAAAGTTCAGGTATTGCTTTAGGCAATTATTTCTGGCTGTTGGGCAAGTGGCACAGAGTGTTCCGTCCATATTTGTGAAAAGAACCTTTATATTTCTTTTCAATATAGTGTCATTTTTTGTTAGCGGTCTGATAAAAGAATTTGACGACAGCTTAGAAAATTGGATTAATCAACGATCACAGTAAAAAAAAATTTTGTTCAATTTTCTTACAAATATTTTTTGAATTATTGAAGATTCCATTCTCAAAACCGCGGTGAAAAAAATTCCAAAAAAATACAAGAGTAATATTAAAATTAAACCGCCTATTTTTCTATAAAAAATCTGCTCGCTTGCTTTTTTTGCTCAAACTTTATCTAAAACTCAAACATTTTCAACCAGTTTTTCTCGACACTGGGACAACGTTTGAAAAGTTTTTAAGGTCCTTCAAATCAGGGCTGAGAAGACTTTAATATGATAGATTACGTGTAGATACTCTTTTGGAGAAGTTTAATGTTTCCTTTAAAACAAGTTTTACTTGACCTTGAGATAACTTTTTGAAAACTTTTTAATGCCATTTGAATCATGACTGAAAAGTGAAAATTTCCGATGACTACTTGTGGTACCTGATTTTGCGAAGAAAAACTAAAACACACACGAATACAAAGTTTTTCCCTGTTTTCAATAGTCGGAACAATAATAACTGTAGCAACACGCAAAACATTCAGTGTTACCATTGGTTTTGGCGCAAAAATTGACCCTGAACTTCGTTATAGTCAAAATTCGCAATGTATTTTTTTTCTTTAGAAAAATGATACATTTAGGACAAATCAAAATAATTTCAGAAACATATTCGAAAAACAAAGCCAACAGTTTTAAATAGGCTTTTAGTATTTACCGAGCGGCACCTAAGCAGACAAGTGGGTAGACGCCCCTTGAGCTGAAAACAAAAAAGAATAATTTTTATTTAATTTCACAACTTACTGGAGTAACGCAAAAACAATTGCATCTACGATGAAAATTAGTGACTGCACACATAAATTTCCCGTTGTGGCAGCTAAGCCGACCAAACATAAGCAGACAAACGAAAATCTGTCAATCCAATTTGTCCTGGTAAGATTTTTTCAATTTCATTTTTACTGAAAAAAAAACTCCGACCGGGACTCGAACTCCAGAATTCAGGGTGCAAATGCATCCGCGTTACCTATAGGTCAGGTAAGAAAAGGTGTCGAAGTTTATCAGGTTCACTAATAAAGCAACTTCACAATTTTTTACAGATGTGTAAGAAAAGTCGTTTACGGGAAAAAAAGTTTAGTTCCCGGTTACAGACACTTGCTCTCGCAAGTGTTACTATTACGGAAATATATTTGCCCAGTTTACCTTCGGCGTGTTGCCGGCGGACACAAATCCGTTTCCGTACACCATTTGCCCTCCTGCTACAAGTCCCGGTGAAGATGTGACAACTTGTCCAAACCTTAGACTCCGTTGCGAATCCGAATCGTTCTCCAACGGCGTGTCGACGTGATTAGATCCTGAACTTCCTCGGCGCCTTCCAAATATGGGCAAATTTCCTAGAAACAACGAAGTCGGGTGAGCTCCATGAGAAGACGAAGATGAATTATTCACAGAATTCGGCATGATTGCGCAATAGCAGGTACGTAAATTGAGCCGTAAAAACCTAATATTGTGCGATAAATTAGGTAAGACAGCCGCAACAATTGACGTAAGATAGAAGGCAGTGCGTGTCAAAAACTGCTGTTCAAAACGGGGGGAATTTGACGCGGTTGTTTTTATTTTTCAAAGTACCGTTCAATTTTGGGGCTTCAAGACGCTTGTGTTGTAGATCTTCCTTGAAAGAAATGATTTAAACAATTTCAGAGGGTTAAAATCGATCACAAATTGAATTTTTGGCATCAGATGGGAATTTTTGTCAATTGATCGGCAAGTTGAGCGGTTATTTTGTAAGTCAATGCTAGGTCGTCTTGCAAAAAAAACAGACACGTTCTTAGGTTTTCACAAAACCATTTTGATCAAAAAAACTTGAGGGCAAAAATTGAAGCAATCATAAAATTTAATGACGCAAATCGCTCAAAATAATGGCAAATTGCTGGATAATCTAAGTGATATATTTGAAAAGATACTTATACATTATTTTCAACTTCGTTTTATATCATCGTACACTTTCATGGATCGGTAAATTTATTGAAAAAACAGCCGCCTCAGTAAATAAGAAGCGCCGGTTAAAATACATTTCATCAATGAGTATGCAAGTCTGAAGGTAGGAATGAAAGACGATTATTTTGGTGGTTATTTGTTTAAACTGGAGAAAGGTCCCACTTCATTCATAAAAGATGCATTTTGTTACAATGAGATGGACGGAATTCTAAACAATACACATATATACCCGCGCAGAGAATTAATTGTTCAGGAAATACAATCAAACAGCAATTAACCTTTAATCACCTATCAAACAGGTACTGACGTCCCAATTCAGAAAGAAAAACGCTTCAAAAAAATTTGAAAAATACAAAAGGCGGAATATGCATCGTTAATTTAAGAAAATGCATCAATAGGCAATTAGCACAAGCAAAAAGGAAATTTTTCAATATTATGAAAATGTGAAATTGGAATGGGCAAAGATGTGAAAATTTTCAACAAAATGACAAAAAAGCGGAACAAATGTCCCTTGAGAGGCTAATTATTAGCACATGGTTTCAAAACTTACCGGTAGAACTATTCTTTGATGACTGCCAAAGAGTAGGAGTGTAGTTTTGGGAAGGGTGAGGGTTGACAGGGTCTTTTTCCACTACTGGCTGGTAAGGGTACGAGAAATCAATTGGTTCCGCTTTCTTGTTGATTTCTGTATTCAGGGTGCTACTAGTTGCCGTGAATTGTTTTTGGGTAGAATTCTGGTCGGGTGGAATAATTAGCGGGGTAGGTGGTCGTTTAATTCTACCTGGTCTCTGTGCGTTTGTTGATTTGAGAAGAATTTGTTCAACTTTCACTGAAGACGCGAGATCAATAGGAAGCTCCCCTTCTGAAAATACAACCAATACCCTCTGACGATATTAATAACACCCGCGGGGAATTTTTAGTATACGTAAAATATTTATCCGCCCTTTTTAAAGCTATTGTGCTCCATTGATCTGAAATAAATCGACCAATTTTGACTGATAGCAAGCTCTCAAATGTGAATTCTGAGAGATAAGTTTATAAATTGAGCTCAATTCAGAAATGCTTATCAATTAATCAAGGCAAGGGTACCGGTAAAAAGCTATTAGCTTAAAAATGTCAACTTCAGCCAACCCAAAATATGCGGGTTTAATTTTCACCATTTTTCATGGCTTAAGTAACAAACCGGAAGAACTTAAGCGACATGATTTATATTTAATTAATAGTGAAAAGAAGTTAAGCTCTCGATTAAATTAAGCTCTCGTGCTCTCCTTACCTTGTTTAAGGTGAAATCTCGAGATTTATAATCATATTTCATTTTGAGTGTATTAAATACTAGTAACTAGCAACGCCCACTTACCTTGAATTTAAGGCTGCCAGTAATTTTAAAGTCTAAGTGATTGACTTCCGTTTTCCGCATTAAATAGACCCGGTGGAAATGTTCCAAGATACATTATCAGCTCATGCTGGTTTGAAGAGAGAAAAACACCCGAAAACTGTCAAAACTTATCATAACACTTTTTCTGGGAGAAATCAATAACTTGAAAAAGAGTACTAAATAGTCAATAGTTTCAAGACATGATCAATTTTATACCGCCTCAAAATTTTAACAAAACAGCCAATGTTCGCCTGAACGTTTATTTGTGACAGCTCTTCATACTGTCTGTTTGTGGAAGCGAAAAATCTGGTGTCACTTGCTCCAACAAGTAGAAACCAACCGATCCAAAAACCGATAATTGGTTCTAAAATAGAGGACGGGGGTGACAGTGCCACAAGTAGGCTTAGAGTCCTTTTTTTTGTAAACATTTTGAATGTGATCAGTGATCAATTACATCAGAGGAAATAAGCCTATAAGAATTTTTTTAAAGAAAATGTAAGCAAATATATGCAGGGGCGGATTTAGGGGGGAGGCGGACGCCCTCCCTCAGGGATTCGACCCCCTGCCGACACAAAGGGTCCCCCCTTTGTACTATTTTGAGATATTCATGTTTGGTGACAGACCCTAAAAATGTTCTAAAGGCTCCTTTGGCGCAAATTTGTACTAATTTTGAGAGGGGAGCGCGCCTTTTTTGGCCTGTTTTTCAAAATTTTGCCGCAGAAAATTGGCCGAAGCAGGGTCTTTTTAGTGCCTTGGGAGAGCTCGAAAAATCAATTTGATCAACCTAAAAAGGTCGACAAAAAGGTTGATAAATCACCCCCCCCCCCCCCCCCTCTCCTCGAGAAAATCCTAAATCCTAGATCCGCCCCTGAATATGTCACAATATATAAATTGAATGGTTGGCCACTCGAAACTTTCTGTCATGAGAGCTTTCTGCCATGAGAATTGCCCCCCCCCCTCTCTTCTCTGTTTTCTCGTCGCCTACCTGCGCTGAGAATGTTTGGGTTTGCTCCCCCTTTGTTGAGTAGGAGAGTGACGATGGCAGAGTCGCCCCTCTTGGCGGCCCAGTGGAGGGGGGTCCAGCCGTTGACTGAGTTGACACAGTTCACGTCCACACAACCACTCTTCACAAGCTCCTTCACACCTGCACAAAAAGGAAATACTGGCATTTTTTGGAGGGCGGGGGGAACTCATTCGAAAACTTTGTTGATCTTAAGTCACTCCAATTAATTTCCGGCAGCTCTCCCAGAAGAATAAAAAATTTAAAACCATTTTTCCACGAGGGATAGGACCAACATTCGAGCTGTACAGCTCATCACGGCGAACCGCTGTTGTGTCCCTGTTTAAGAACTACATGCAATTTTTTTGGTTGTTTTTCTAGGCTGGGTAATGTTGCCTCACCCTCAAGCAACGAGCACGGATCATGGTGGGCCTCGAACATCCGACCTTTCGATTGAGAGGCGCAGACGTAACCACTTCCCCACTGCTCACCTATAAAGACCTTTTACTTAATATTAATTCGAAATTTTAGGCTACTGTAATCAAAAATTGTAAATATTGGGTGGCGTATTGGGGTGTTGGCAAAGCTCCATGCGGTCATTTATTTCAAGCAAAAGATGATCCCTTGGAACATTGAACTCTTCTGTTCGACCTAAGTAAAAAAAAGAGAAGACACAAAAACTTCGGAATACCAGCCAAAGTTTTCGTTCCAATCGCCAAGTGAGAAAGACCTTTGTGCATTTTCCAAAATTAAACTGCGTGAAGTAGTCTATGATATTGAGTGTTTCACAAAGAATGCTCTGAGTTCAATCAAAATCTTACGTCTGATCCTAGTCGAGTCTAAGACGCAAAAAACACAGAGCGCGGTTTTTCTTCAATGCTGGAGAAATTTTTGCCATATTTTCTTAGTCACGACTGAAATGGTTTTAATGATGATTTCACTCGACCCTTTACATGTTTGACTTCAGTAGTATTATTTGGAAAAAATTACCCGAATACAAAGCTCCTTCTCACCTTAGATGATGAGAACAAATATTTTGTTTTCTATCCCCCAATAATAAAAGAAATGAAGAAAGGCCTCCAAATGACTCCTGTTTGCTAAAAAAAATTCGGCTCAGCAAAAAAAACCTAAAAGAATCAGAATCATGAAAAATTACTGGACGAAAAGTCATAAAACAGAAAAAGACGCTGAACTGAAAATAAACAGACCAAAAGGGGAACAATGATGATGGATGACTTTGCCGTTGTCACCAAAAACAGCAAGCTCCTAAAAGGATTAGATTTATGTGACGCAATCCTTTCAGTTTCATATAACTCAGACTTGGCTATTCTGATGATATTCTGATAAACAGAATGGCACAAAACCCGATGGCATAATGGCACAAGATCTGAACGACAGGAAATTTCTAACGTTCCGACTATACCTTAATTCATATCGAGTAGTTTTTTGGAAAAGAAAATAATCCAAACCTACAAAATTTGGACAAATTTTGAGTCGTAGGAAATTGATACGACCGAGTAGCTAGCCTCAATTCAATTTCGAACGATTTTTTGGTGCGAGATAAATCGCCACGCATAAATAGTTCGCGTTACGCTCTCTGCATTAAGAAAAAAACTCTTCAAAGCGCAATATGCTCGCTCTAATCTCCAAAAACTGATCCAAATCCGTAAATTAATAAGAGATATTTCTCGGTAAATAACTCGGCAAATAGATAAATTTTGGCATTTTCTATCGATCAAAAACATCATGTAACTTTTTATCATCAGCTTGTTTCGGTACAAATCTGCGCAAGCTAGACACAAGAACCGGTCGGTAATGTCCTTGAGACAAATTGCTCTTTTTGGCGGTCAGCCTTAATCAAGGCTGAACCGAATTGGAACCAAAAATAGTTAAAACAGGATATAACCTCCTTTTTTAGTATATTAATACATGGGCAAGTAGGGGACTCGAACCTATGTCAACTGTTATGTTACGTTACTTTGTCTTAGTCCGCTTGGCCATCTTTTATATGCATTTATACTCTTGTTTTATATGCATCTATACTCTACATTTGCGTTGCAACATCCTCCCACCCCCCTGAAGAAGGAAGAACCGGAGCGAGCTTAACGGTCGGCCGAGTGACTTTACGGGTTGCGGTCTTAACAAGGGCGGATCGAGCGCAACCGTCCTGTCCGTAGTTTAGCTTGACGATTCGGGCGAGAGGGTAGTACCCACGCGGACTATCGGGCTCAATCACCCACACGAGATCGCCTGTTTTAAGAGTGAAGTCAGAATTAGTGTGCCACTTGACACGCTTATTCAGCGAGGGAACATATTCGCGAAGCCAACGAGACCAAATCGCGTTAGCATATGACTGCGCTCGCACGTACCTTTTCTTGTGGTTGAAGTGCTCCCCAGGTAAAAGCGAAGGAAAGCTTGTGGCATGTTGTCCAAGCAAAAAGTGGTTTGGGGTTAACGCTTCTAACTCACGTGAATCAGTACTAACGGGAGTGATTGGCCTCGAAGTCAAAGCCTGCTCAACTAAGCAGATTTTTGTTCCTAACACCTCTTCGGTGACTTGCCTACTGCCTAGTATATCGTAAAGCACTCGCTTCACGCTTCGGACGAGGCGCTCCCAGGAGCCGCCATGATGGGGTGCGCCTGGCGGGTTAAATTTCCAAGCAACACCTTTGTGTGCAAAAATGGTCGGAGCCATGCCATTCCAGCTCTTGATACAGGCAAGTAGTTCCTACTCCGCACCAACGAAGTTCGTGCCGTTATCCGACCAGATTGTGCTTGGTGTACCACGACGCGCAATGAACCGTTCAATGCCCATGACACAAGAACTGGTGTCCAGAGATGGTACAATCTCAAGGTGTACAGCCCTGGTGGTGAGGCAAATAAAAAGGAATCACCATCCTTTCTCAGTGCTTCTGCGAACCGGAACGTAAAGCGGTCCAAAGTAATCCACACCCGTATGATTAAAGGGTGGTTGCTTATATCCGAGACGTTCGACAGGTAAATTAGACATAAAGGCTGGATGATAATTGCTTTGCGTTTACGGCATGTTACACACTGATTTTCGATAGACCGGAGTAGTCAACGCAATCCAATTATTGTATATTTCATATTTAAAACGGAGCGCATGTAATTTAATCCGTGATGAAAATGCTTATGGTGGAGGCTGCGGGCCAACAAACGAACTAGGGTTTTTCGAGCGTCGAGTAATATTGGGTGCTTAGTATCAAACTAGGTAATCACTAAGCGCACAAAACGTCCGGTTGAACGAATGATACCAGCGGGACCGATAAATGGCGAGTATAAGGAAATTTTACTACTGTTCTCAATAGGTTTGCCAACCGAGTGTGTTTTTAACTCAACGGGGAAGGATTCCACCTGAGCATGATGAATCAGTTTGTTTTCTGCAATATCAAGCTCAGTGGGGTCGGTGATTTGTAAGTCCTTACCACGAAAATGCTTATGTGAAGGCAGAACCCTCAACATAAAAGCGACTACTTGTTTATATCTCGTAAAGGAACTGAACCTTTCCCAATTGAACCCGTGTTCGGGATGTTTGATGGATGTGACATCGGTGACGAAGGAAGATGATGTCTCCAAGCAATTATCAACATAACAGGAAGGACTCTTCAAGCGAATTTTTTTGATTACACGTTCGTCGGGTATAAACGGCCAATCAGTAGTCCTGAGAATGCTCGGACCAATAACCCAGCTGCTATCCTTGAGGGCTTCCGAAGAAATCCCTCGCGTACCGGTATCAGCTGGATTATTGCCGCTCAAAACATGGTGCTACTCATCAATAGTGGTCGATTCAAGGATTTCGCCGACACGGTTAGCGACGAATACTGGTAGTTTTTCAGTGGAGTTTAGCCACTGCAAAACTGTAGTACTATCTGTCCACATGTAGACATGATTAATAGAGACAGTAAGGGCGGTCACTATATAATCTTTCAGTCGTGTGGCGAGCAGAGCAGCTTGAAGCTCTAGCTTCGGTATAGATAGCGCTTTCATGGGCGCAACGCGAGCTTTACCAAAGTTGAAGGATATTTGAGGTTTGTGCGAGCTCGAGAGTCGCGCACGCAAAAACCCAACCGCACAGAAAACGTCCTGCGAGCTATCACCGAACATGTGGAGCTCAGTTTGATCCACAGGCTCTGTGAATTACCAACGGGGAATAGTCAATTGCCCTAAGAAAGGGAGACCGGAGTGCCACTCGAGAAACTTATCTCTTATGGCTTCGGGCAATTTGTCGTCCCAACTTTGGCCACTGATTTTCAATCTTTAAGTAAAAGACGGGCCCTAGCTGTGTATGGAGCTACCAACCCAACACGGTCAAACACAGAAGAGACAAAACTCAAGACGGTTCGTTGAGTTATTGCCTTATCGAGAGGACGATCCACGCCTCTGCTAACAACCAATGTGTCTTTCACATGGTCCCACTTAAGACCTAAGACGAGTGATGATTGTTCGGCACCGTTACATATTTCCTTGATGGGTGAAGACGAGGTTTCGCAATCCTCGGGGTTCATTGCTGAAGTGATTTCATCAGCATTACTGACAAATTTAGTCAAATTAAATCCTCCCAACTTTATTAAGGAAACCAAATCGCGGCTAATTTTAATTGCATGGGTAACGTTCTCGAACAAATCTAAGTAATCGTCCATGTAAAATTTTTCATTTACGGCTGAGGCGGCCTCAGGGTATGTGGACATATTATCAGTTTTTGTTTTTCGCAACGCGAAATTGACGCACGTAGGCGGATCCCGTGCGCCGAATATATGGCGAGTGTACTAATGAACTACCACATCGGAAGTGGTATCCTCCCGTCACAAAAAACGGAGTGAAATCTGATCGCGGGCGAGGACTCTTACCTGGAGGAACATACCCTCTTTATCCGCGGAGACGGCGTACTTGTGTTGACGGAATTGCAAAAGTACAAAAATTAAATTTTGGAGTAGGTCCGGACCGACCAATAAGGACTTATTTAAGAATGTGCCGTGAAACTTAGAAGCCCCATTAAGGACTCGGCGCACCTTACCCGGCTTATTCGGATTTACGACGGGATGATGTGGAAGATACCACTCGCGATCGGAACGCTTACGTGGATCATGCGGTTCGACGGTAACGACATACCCTTTCCTAATGTC